ACCTGCAGGTCTTTCATTCAGACGTAATCAGTGGTTGCAGGACAGCAGCTCTCGTCACAATAACACACCATATATATATGAGGACCTGTGTGTACGCTGGTCTCTGTGGAGAAAAAAAAATACCCTGGATTGAAATAAAGATGTCAAAGTGAGTGTGACAGTGATGGGATTCCCATCTGCCGTGTGTGGTTTCATTTCAGTTTGCCTTTATCGCTCTGCCTGTCCACTGCGTTTGTTTGTCTCTTCATTTGTCTGTGAAAAGGCAGAATGCTTCCTGTCACAATGGCATCCTGCTGTGATTACCATGCAAATGTATTTCATTAGGATGTAAATGATCAACGTAATGATGATTTTTAATTAGAATGTTAATGATGATTATTTGTAAAGATGACTGTGACAGCAGGCTGTTGTCTCTCTGACTGACTGATTGAATGGATGGATGGCTGCTGTTCTCATTCAGCTACTAAACAATATTCTGTCTTTTCTTCCCCCCTATCTCACTCCTCTCTCTGTTCCTCTCTGATGACTTAGAAAAAAAAATGTAACATTTAATTTATTGTACAAGGGCTTGAGTAGCTGTATGGACACAGCAGGATAAAACACTTCCTGTATAAGGCAGCATGTACTCACTTGTGTTTTCATATTAAAAGGTAGTTTTATTAAGGAACATCAGGTCAGCAAGCAAAGGAATGAGTCTGCAGGGCTTTTAACATAACTCTCTGTTTCTGCTCAATTCCTTCAGTGAAAAAGAAGTGCTGATACTCCTCTTACCTATCAGTAAATCATGAGTGTTACAGTCTAAATTTTAAAGACCTACACTGATGAAAATCCTGTTTTTTTTTCATTGTCTATGTGTTCATATGGCATTTTCCTTTTGTTAGGACATATAGGACAAAGGACAGAATTGCATTCCTGAGTATTTCTGCATTCCAATCGCTGTGAACCTCTCACAGACCCAAACACTAGGTTCGGATACAGTGGGATTTTCTACGTCACAAATCTATGCTCCGCCCCCAGCAACTTGCTCTGGAAGAGGGGAAGAAGAGGGGATGATCGCGGAACAAGTGTGTGCGGTAGCAGATTGCAATGCTTGTAAGAGAGCTTATTATAATATTAGCTTTCATCATGTCCCTAAAGACATTAGTGTCCGAGAGCTTAATAGCTCCTATATTGCTACTCCACTCCTACAAGCTAGCGTGAAGAGGAATGTGCAGAGGAGTGTGCAGAGGAGTGTGCAGAGCAGCGCTGTATCCACTGAAAACTCAGAGGTGAATTTCCAATGAGCTACTGGAGCTCTGCAGAAGAAAAGCCCTTGAAAATGAACAGGTAACATGATTTTGGCTAAAAACTTCATAATCACGATTTAAAGACCACTGAGAACACTTCAGATAGTGAAAAAAAAAACAATCTAAATGGGACTTTGAGTGGCAATATGTCGCCACTCAGCTGATTACAATTGGAGAATCCCCTAGTTGACTTTTTACATCATGCACCAAAACTATGGACAAAAATGTTGGCCAAAGGCAAATGGGTTGTGTGTCAAATGTGAAAAAATCTCTGATAGCTCTGAATCTTTTGTATGTCATGACAGTGTTGTCCTTCCTCCCCTGTCGAGGTTTTCTTTACTGCCCTACTTCCTTCATTGCATTTATGCCATTCAACGACGGAGTCAAAGCCCAAAGTACAAACTGTGGAACATTTTGTCTAACTATGAAAGACTTGAGCCACATGATTTCAGTCAGACTAACGTATTAACAGGCATTTTAAAAATCCAGTTCTTGTTGGAGTTTCATAATAAATAGATTTTTTGAACAACGTTCAAATGAAGTGACCAAAGACTCTTGTGACTTTGCATTAGAGTGATTTTGCTCTTCAGTGAAAGCAGACAAGTGAACATCTTGTTACACCTGTAAAAGAACATGGCTGCCCTATGGTGCATATGTCAGGTGTTGATATGAGTAACCAGGGGAAACTGGACAGGATAGGGTACTTGCAGCTGGTAAGAAGTCTCTGCACACTGAAAAAAAAGGTTTGGGTTAAATTCAGAAAGAAGAGATGCTGTGTATCAGAGTCTGTCATTCCCCTCAAGGCACCTTCTCTGCCTGTAAACATTTCAACTACAACCAGAGTTTAAATTTAAGACACAGTGTCCGTAAAGGTCTCTGTTTTCTTGGTTGTGTAAAGCAAGAGTAGATCTTGTTTGAGTTATAAACCTGACAGGTGTTAGATTAAAAATTAAAACATAGAAGAGCAAACAGAGCACTAGAAAAAATACACACAAATAAATGCAGACATTTATCTTATTTACTGGGCACCAGTCTGTAGCAGCTAGAACTTAAATGTAGCGTAAACTGTTTCTTGTTCTTGCTTTACGAAAATCCTTATCACAGAACGAATTATTTGGTGAACCTTTTTTTTTTTTGTAGTCATGAGACGACTGGAAAGGTATGCCTTAACAGAAATGTTTGCGATTAAGTAATAGTTCCCCTTAGTGGAGGGTATGTATGGAGTTTTCTGTTGGATTTGAAAAAATCAGCAAAGGTCCTTAGAAAATATGGAAGAACAATTACAGACCCTTCAGCTGTTGCCTCCAAAAAAAAAAAGAAAAAAAAATGCTATGGCAGCTCCAGGTTTTGTCATCTGATCATGAACTCGTTTTGTTTCGTGGATGAGATCGTAATTGAATTTGAGTGATCTGTAGAAGGAGAGCTGTATATGTGACAAACTGCATCACCATGAGCTCAAACACCACACCAACGTGGTTATGGCCACTATAACCTGGCGATTTCGTCAACTCTCATGTTCCAAGGGACCACAGCCATCATTGATCATCCTCCTAACGCCGTTTGATGATTAGAGCTTCCATTATGCTGTTTGATGCAGACAGTAATTGATAGGTGCTGACATGATGAGGATTGTGCGAGATGTAACAGAATGAAACTTTTCAGAGTGAGGCTCCAGGTCATCTGTCTTGGATCCCCTCTCTCTTTCTCTCTGTGACAGCCATCAGCTCCTCTTTCTCTCACTTTTTTTCCAGTCCTTTGTTAGGTAAATGAGAAGAGGTTGACCCTGTTCTCATTTTGCAGCCACCCGCCGGCCGATAGAGGACAGACAGAAATGACGAGATGAATGACTGATTGAAACGAGGGCGAGCCCTGGTGAATAGATTTTTTTTCTTTTTCAACAATGCCACATGTCTTAATTAGTAGAGTATAAAAATCTTAACGTACCTTCAAGGCTTTTGTGTGTGAACTTGGGTGTTTATTGATGTGCCATATTTTCTACTCCCTATATTACTTTACAATTTTATTTCCAAATTGTACCCTTATGAATCCCAAACCAAACCACTCAGTCTTTGTCAACTTTGGCAGCTTAACATCTTTGAATCACCATCCAAAATTAAGTTTTTCTGTTTATGTGGAGCCAAATGATCTGTTCAGTTGGCCTAAAGCTCCAACAAATTTTCCTATAAACCAAACAAAAGACAAGTTGAATCACGCCACTCATTTACTTCAATAACTTGACTGTGAATACTCTCCGCCATAATTCGTTATGACACTCTCTATCCCCTATGTAAGAAACTGACCCTTGACCCTTGATGCTTTTGTAAATTTTAGATTAGTCTCCAAGCTGCCTTTTTTTGAAACACGCACACGCATGCACACACGCATGCACACACGCATGCATGAACTAACTCCAAGTGGTGAACAAACTTCTGCGACAGGATCGTAGTGGTGAAATGTGAGGGAAACTGAGGAAATGTGGCTCGTATGGCAAACCTATGGCCAGTCATCTTAGTCAAGGTTTTCTTTTAAGCCTGAAAAAATGCCACAGAAATGCCCCCTCGGCTACTAATGTAAGTAAAATATAACAAATGTCCTCCTTGGTGCCTTTTTCTTGGAAAAAATGCATGAAAAACTGCTTTGTTGTTTGCTCTTTGATGCCCTTTGAGCTGATGTAGTGCTTTAACAGTACCACCTGGATGTCTCTCAACTATAGGAAACTTGATGGCCTTCCAGTCAACAAAATGCCAAAAAAGTGCCCTCTGGTATATAAAACATAAAAAAGTGCCTTGTGGAATCGGATGCCTTTCCAAGAGATTAAATGTGATACTTTTCCTTTTGGTATTTTAAGTGTTAGATCAGCATGTGCTTTCATTTGGATGGGATCTATCCACTTGTTTTTTTAAAAATAACCATGTGAAAAATGACTAATACAATCTTACTAGAATTGTAGCTTTTTCATGCATTTTCTGATAATTATTTATCAATTTGAATTTCCTTAACAATTCCTACCACAAAATGTTAGAAAAAAAATATCTGTGTATAAATATAACCTTGCCTCTCCATAATGTATTGAGTTTTGCTAACCTAACGACTTTGTCACTAGATTTTGCGCCTTTTTGGACCCGTCTAGCAACTTTTTTTTCCAAAAAAGCACCTAGTGACAAATCTAGCTACTTTTTCTGTCGTTGACTCTGATTAAAAAAAAAAAAAAAGCAGGTATAGCAACGGGTAGCAGGTGTGCATCAAACACTCCTCTTCCCTCAGCGGGAGAGGTCAGGGGGTGGGGTTAACTAAAAAAATATGCAAATCAGGGGATGGCACTATCTAGCAACTTTAAGTGACTTCTAGGGCAGCAACTAGCTACTTTCCTTAGTGAGGTGTTGTGACACTGAATGTATTCACAGACGAAGGTATAATTTGGGTTACTGATGTCCCAAGAGGGTTTCGTACTTGAGCCAATGTGCCCTAAAATTGAGATTTTTTAACAAACTGAAAGGGTTCAATAACTGCACAATACACTTAAATCATATAATTGAAATTTCTTTATTAAGGAGCGCCTCCACTCCAGATAACTGGTGAGGACAAACACTTTACACTTTACAAATTAGAAACAGATTTACATTCCAGACACGATATAATCTGCCCCTGTTTGTTCAGCTTCCTGTCTTACAGTCAAAGGTGTACCAGTGAATCCTTTCAGTCAGTTATTTCGAGGTCATTGAAGAAAGTCCATGCTCATAAGCAGATTACATCCCTGTCAAGATTTTACAATACCAAACACAATTTACCAGAATCCACATCCTGAAATTGTATACACATTCCTGGCCGGCCTTTTTGAATCACCTGTCAAACAAATTCACAGCAGACAGTTCGTTTCAAGTTTTAGCGAGTTCTTCCCTTTACATCTCAGTCAACTTCTTTGTTTTTTTTTTTTTTTTTGCTACAAATACAACAACATTTTATAAATAAGAAACTGAAGGTGGAGGTCACTGGTTTCCCCTCCTAGTCTCCCAGGGTAAGATGGTCCATGTTCCTGAGCTCCTATAGCTTTTCTTTCTGATCCAGAGTCCTCACAAGCCAGACTTCAAACTGTAGCTAGCAGCGATGATGTGATGAAAATAATCCCAAAGATCGGATGTAGCTGGACCGTCACTTGTGAACAGTGTTAAAATCCTTCAACTGATCGAGTGGACATGTCTCTCCTTCTTGCTTGAGTCCAGAATTTGGTTTTCACTTTTCCTCCAAATCACCAATAAGAGTTACCTCTACATATTCATTTGCAGTGTCTCTCAGTTGGTTTTAGGTCCTTTTCTACATTCAAGCAACAATCTTGGTAGTAGATGGGTCATGCTTTGATGTCCCTTACAGTTCTGTTGTAGCCTTCACTGCTGCTGATCACTGCAGGCGTGGCCAGTACTGTGACATGTCCACTTCACTCCCTGGAACCTGGACTGGAACTGAGACACCAGGAGAAATCAGACCTAAACCGAGGAGAACAAAGAGGTTATTTTGAGTGTAAGTTTATCAATAAAGACACGGCAAAGTAACTATCAACACCAGTAAAAACAACCTTGGAAAACAGTGTAGATTACTGGTACAAACAGATTGATGGTTTACAAATCAGTTCAACCCTGGGTTCAATTACAAATTCTACATATCAGATATTGACACTGACAAAACACAGTAGTGTAAGTCTAATAAACACCAAAATCCGCTCCCATGTAATTGGACTAGTTTGCAACAGGTTTGTAGAATGATAAATGGATAAAGAAGGTAATCTCCAAAGGTCAGAGTGGAGTCCGTCATGAGTCAAGAACGTAAGAGATCCATTACTCTGTGCACAATGATTTCGTTTCAAAGCAATGCTCTTCAGTTCACTATTGAAAAGAATTTGAGGATTTTATCATCTAAAGTACAGAGTACTATTCAAAGATTTCAAGAATCTCTGTGCAAAAGCCAAAGGGTCCAAAACCAATACTGAATGGTTGTAATCTTAAGCCCATAAGGTGGCACTGCATTGAAAACAGGCATGACTCTGTACATGGTACAAATCACTGCATGGGCTCCAAAAGTCATTGTTGGTAAACAAAGTCCACTGCTCCTTCCACAAATGTACCATCAAAAAGAGAAATCCTGATGTAAATATGACCTAGAAATGTTGGTAACTATGCTAAGGCAAACTGAGGGGAAGTGGAAAACTGTGTAATGGTGTGTGGAAAATCAAAATTGGATATTCTTTTTGGAAATAATGGACAATGTGAAAGAGGAGGGGGACCACTTAATCAAAAGTTAGTGACTGATAGAATGAGGACACAAACTGCTTTGGCATTTGTATTTTGCACATGGAGGAAGAAATTTGACAGTACACATGTTTTAGAGCAACATCTTCTTCCAATGCCAAGTCATATCCTCCACAAAACATTCTACAACTCTATAATTCACTGTGACTCTGTGTGCTAACACACAGGGGATAGTGATAATTCAAGCATGAGCTCTCCCTCTTGGACCTGCCTGCACTATTTCCTCCCAAGACAAAAACACAGTGATCGACTATGGTTAACAGTAAAAATTAAATTGACTTGTATTTGACTCATAGAAGCTCTTTTCTTGTCCTCCACACCACTCAAAGCACTTTCACACTGCTCACCACATTAAAACATCAAGGGCACAAACTTTGATGAGAAGGCTGTTGTGGAGGATCACCAGTAGTAATGAATCCCATTCTCATGCAACCCTGACGATGGCAGATATGGGTTTAAGGAGACTTCAGCATGTCAGTGTTGGAGCTGGGATCAAAAAGCAGATCCTCTGACTAAGAGACGACCAACACTGAGCCACAGCTGCCCTGTGCTTCATTTGCAGTAAGGGAAAGTTTGTCCACGGCCAAGATGGGTAATTCTAATCTTTTACAGTGACCCAGTTCGTCAGCTGTTTTTGATTTTAGTAACTCATAACTATTGCTAATTACCAGTGTTGAGTAACTTAATGAACTCTTTTCAAGAGTTCAATTACTGACTAACACAGTGTTTGTGTGTAATATCAAACTGTAGCTTCTCAGTTACTACTTACCTGTGGATGATGTTGCAGAGGAGGCCAATGACTGGCTGTTGAGGTGTGGCTGCATGTGTGGAGGAGTGTAAGTCTCATAACTTCTTCCATTTACAGCGGGGCTGCTGGGCAGCATGCAGGAATATGAGGTCTGACTGGATGCCTAGAAGTAAACTCAATGTTATCAATTAAAATCAACAAAAATCATCAAGGACTAACAGTTTTCCCTTTACATCATCTATTAGCACAGGACAAGCCATGAGTATTAGGTAATATGAGGTCCTCTTACTTGCATAGGCAGACTGGCAGCCATACTGAAGTTAGGCATGGCTGGAAGGCTATAGCTGTTGGACAGAACTGGATCTGACCTTCCCAACATGGATCCTGATGAAAAGGACACTGAAAACAGAGGAATAGAGAGGATATTTGTAAGGTCTCTAACAAACTTTCTTCATGAATCTAGGGGGCGTAAATAACATTTTCATTTATTTTTTTTTAGTATTTCCATAACCTGCAAGATAAGATTTCTGATGATATTGCTGGCCTGTATGAAGTTTAAAGCTATGGCTGAACATGTAGCTAACGTTTGTAAATCACTATCAGGTCAAAAATGACATGCAAGATTGTGTGAAAAAAAAGCTGACCATACTTTTAACTAAATGAGAATTTCCTGAAAACATGTACCAGATTGAACAAAGAAGAAAACAGTTCAGGTTTTGCCCCAACTACTGTGGTTGTGTTCATGTCTTTGTTGTTCTGAATGTAAATTGGGGTCTTAAATATAGATTAGATTAGATACAACTTAATGTATCCTTTTGGGAAGGTTCCCCTTAAGGAACTTAAAAATATAGGTACAATTTGCATGGTTTTGTTAGATATAATGATCACACACATGCCTCTGTGATTTACTTTAAGTAACATGCAAATAAAGAGCTAACCAACAAATTCAGCCTCTTTTCTTAAGTCCGTGTTCTGATACCCTTAGACTGCCCTTTTAATGTACCCCTTCCCAATGTGTGAGGTATCTCTGAGAAGCAGATTGCAGATAAATGCCTCGTTTCACACACAATAAGATAATTTAAAGATCAAGCTTACAAACTATAAATCAAGCTTTGTCAGTAGTGTTTGCTGGTAGTGGTCCTTACCTGGTGTGGTAGGCTGTGGTAGAGGCTGGTAAACACTGGAGTTGAAGCTGCTGCTAATGGGAATATGGTTGGAGGAGTTGGACACTTGCCGACGCTGGTTTCTCAGCTTTTCTTCTCTCCGCCATTTTGCTCGTCTGTTAGAAAACCAGACCTGCACATGCAAGAAGATGTATAGATTTTGGTAGTCTAATTTTTTTCTGAGACCCGATTAAATTGAAGTACACTGCTGATGCTGATACTTTTCCATCGACTATAGAATAGTCATTAGAGGACTGCTTAGTGAAAAAATCTTTCATGGTAAATGTTGACCAGAGAAAAAAATTAAAGCTATTGTAAAAGCTTCCAGCATGCATAAAGGCTCATTGTTAAAATGTGAGCATCACAAAATTCAACCAATAAATAATAGAACCTACCTGTATTCTTGCCTCTGGAAGGTCTATTTTGTTGGCCAGGCGTTCTCGGGCAAAAACATCTGGATAATGAGTTCTTTCAAATTCTGAAAAACCAAAATGGTGTGAAAATACACAAAGAGGTTACAAGAGTGTTTTCTTGGGCAGTGAATCTTTAAAATAGTACAACAATGATTTTCATGGACGGTTCAGAAGTCTGCTTAACTTTCTGACTTTAATACTAAATGAGTCATATTCAATGGATCAAAGGTTTTCACCTTTAAACCGTTATTTGTCGGTCTAATGATGTTTAAGATATTGTAAAAGAAAAAAATGTTTGTTTCACTCATTTTTAGGAGGTGGATTTACATGAATTCAAGACAATATTTAAAGACATATGAGCCATTTTAGTACAGAATTTCAGCCCTGAATTAAAAACGTTGTAATAATATATTTAGTAATATGTGATTTTTTTTTAAATTCATGGGTAAATACTGTATGTTAAGATGTTTATGATGAATTATGGATTATTTTCACAGTGATTACCTTTCTCCAGTGCTTCTATCTGCTCCTGAGTGAAAGATGTCCTGTTCCTCTGCAGTTTCCTCTTCAGCTGAAGCCTTATCTGGGTCTCCTCTGAGTCTTCACCATTAGAGCTTACTGAGATGGTGTTCTCCGCTCCATCTGACTGAGAACAATCTGAGCAAAGACAGAATCAAGGGGAATGATTATGTGGACAAATAGCCAGTTCATAAAATGTAAACTATTGGGACAAACTCAGGATTTGATGTATAATTTATGTCAGATGTTTAATAAAAATCCCACATCCATTTGATACTGGGATAATTACGCCATTGATAAGCTGAACACTACAATTTAAATCCTGAGATCTTAATACTTAATGCAAAGTCACACACAGTCTCTGAAGGTTTGTTAGCAATTACAACTAAACGTGTGTGGTACCTCACTAAAATCCCAGCCCTGATCAGAGCAGACAACACAATATGTAATATTCAGATCCATGAGAGTAAACCATGCGTATAAGTTGAAGATGAATAAAGGCACAGGGCTCTTCAGAGCGCAGATCTTTGAGCAGACGGGAGCTTGACTCCAGCTCCCTGTGGAACTCATGTTATTTGCGGTGCTAGCCTAATTATTCATTATCCCCAGCAGACAGAGACTGCAAAACAGAATGGAGCCATTGCTCAGTGTCACAATCAGTCAGGCAGAAAGAGACACAAATGAGTGCAGACGCCCCCTCTGCCTCTTCCCTACACACACAAGCATGCTGCAGACTGATGGGAAGGCAGCAGCCGTGGTAGTATAGCATGACTTTGTTTCACTGTTGTAATCCCAGGGTGCTTGAGGAGGATCAGCAGCATATGAGTCTACTCCATACAGCAAATGGGGCCCTCACACAGTGAAGAAAGAGGAGAGGATGCTGCTCAGTGAACTCTACACAATGTGTCTCCTGTTCCATATTATGGCAATAGGAGGTAATTTGGCAAAAGAGCAAAAATATTTGACCTGAATGCAAATATAATTCATGTCAATAAAAAGTCTTATTCTTGGTTCATAAGGAAGATTAAAATGACAAATAGTGTTGTTCCCCCATTGGTCGGAGAACAATAAGGATCTAATGCGAGACTGTGAAAGAAAATCTTTTTGTTATAATTTTATTCTAAACATTTATTGAAAAATGCTGAGTTTTTTTTAGTTAACGTGTCGTATCTACGGATCCTAGGTGCTCAAGAGCATCTCTGACATAGTCTGTGATGTCTCATTACAATCTGTAAATTTAATTTTTTTTCATATCATGACAAATCTATACAATACAACACAATACAATACAAGAACTTTATTGATTCCCAAAGGGAACTTTGTTGGGCATCTTCACTTTGCGCAGGTGTTGTGTTCACTTATTGTGTACAGAAGAGGCAACATCTGATTCACAAAGCAGCTGCAAATACTGAACCACAAACTGTGCTGTGTAGGAGCCACTACAGTCAGTATTTTCTACATACATCAAATGAGCCCTTATATAGGCACATGAAGCAAAAAAGAACTATTTTTATGCAAGTAAACCTCACAAAAAGAAAAAAAATTAATAAATAAAAAAAATAAAAAAATAAAACATCAATGCCAACAGTCATTAGCATTTGGAGTAATCTGTACCACCTGCCTAGAGTTGGTGGTAATTGTGCATTATGTGATCATGTTCACAATTCCAGCTCTGGATAACCTCAAATTGTACATTTGAATGTAAACTGTGAAATTCGTGTCACATGTCTGATGAATCAACCCCACAATAGACTTGGGAGAAGTGTCCCCTATCCATTTGGCTCAACTCCTGCATGAGGAAAAATGTACTGTCGTCAGAATGAGAGTGCAAGGAGCAGCTCTGTGCAGCAACAGGTGGGGATGCTGATAGCTCATCTCTACAATCATTCGCAAAACTGCAGCAAAATGCAAAGAGATGCAAAACGTGGGAGCGTTTATAAATTATTTCAGATTTAGTTCATGTTTGCCACCAGGAGAGCAGACTGTATCAGCACTGTTAGCATGAGAAGCAGTAATTCTTAGTTGGGGTAAAGTGGCAGATGTGTAGGAAAAAATGTATGTAAATTACATACCACTGGCAGGGATTGTAGTTCCAGTGTACCAGCTTGAGCGTCCTCCCCAGTTGGTTTGTCCGTTGAGCATCTTGAGTTTGTCAAACATCCCTTCGGCTCCAACTGTGCCCATTTGCTGTTTGTCACTGGCCAGGTTTCTGAGCACTCGGTTTATTGATGAAACCTAATGGTTAATACAACATGTTTGATGTCATTGACGAAAAAAAAACTAACTTAAATTTCCCAGCAAATTTTCATTCTGTAACTTCTTGAGTACAATTTTGTTCTGTTTAAAGCTGTTTATAACACACTTATTTTCCTATGATTTGTGAAACCTTGGTAACTGTTTTAAACCTTGAACTACCTGCTCTATCGCCTTTTTCATGCTTCAACAGCCAAGCCATGGAGCAAGCTGGTTTTGCTGATGAGTTTTAACTGACATTACCTGCACAGACAAATCTATGATTTGACTTAAGAGTCAAAGGCCTTACACTCGGTATGTTGTCGTTGGTGCAGACTCCTTCTGCAAGCAGTCGGTCTCTTATCTCCCATGCAAAAATGGACGGACACTCCCTCTTGTACTGAGCGATCTTCCCTACCACCTCTGGAGTGGCCACTCTGGGTTTACTCCCCCCTATGGCGCGAGGACGAATTGAACCAGTCTCGTAGTATCTGCCCAGGATCTTACTGACACAACCGTTGGATACCTAAATGCGAAAAGAAGTACACATCACACACACATTTTAAAGGCCTCTGCTGTCTCTCTTGAAGTTTTTAAAGGGAAATTTCTAATTACATAATGTAAAGCGGTTCAATGAGCTATTTTTTGCACCAAAGGAAACTTTTATTTTGAATGGAGTACACTTTACATTAAGTCTGTCATAAGTCATGAAACAGCTAGAGGAACAGTTATAGAGCATACATGTTTAATTTATTGGTACTCCCAAAGAGGCACCAGCTCTAACATTTGTTCTTTGGATTTACAATAAATCTTGACACCAGTTTCAAAGATATCTCGCCATTTTACAGTTACTACAGTTAGCTGCAGCTGTTTCTTCATTTTATCCTAATCCTATGGTGGGCAGCATCCATCTTAAGGAATTACCAATGTCCCTTACTTTAAATAGCTATACAGTGTTACCATATGCTTATTCTAAGCAAACTATCCATCCATCCATCCATCCATCCAGTTTCTACAACTTATAGGTTGGAGCCTATCCCAGCATCTTGAAGTGAAGGCAAGGGACACCCTGGACAATACAGGACCTACAGGCAATTTTAAAAGTAACAAATTAACCTAACCCCACTTCTGCCTGTTTACTGGATGTTGGAGGAAACCAGAGTACCCAGAGTAAACCCACACAGACACAGGGAGAATGTACGAACTCAGAAACACCCTGACCCAGATTCGAACCCAGGACCATCTTGCTATTAGGCGACAGTGCTAACCACTGTGAACACTTAAGACCAGAGACTTCACGCTGATGTAAGGTTTGGTGACTTGACCACAACACTGGTCTTAAGGCACCTATAGTGGCCCTCAGAGTGTAAATGGAGACTAGAACCCCTTAGAGGTGGTTCTGCAACTTTCCTGGAAAACCAATAAAAACAATGTTGACCTTCACAGTCTAAATCGGACTGAAGTACCTTCAGGACTTTACCTGCAGTATTCTGGAAATGTCACAGGGTCGAGCCCCACTGTGTGCCAGCTCCACTATCTTCTGCCTGGTTGAATCAGGTAAGGGTCTCCCGTTCACAAACACACCTCCAAGTTGGTTTACTCCACTGTGACCTACAGACAACACAAAAAGTGAAAAAAAAAAACAAAAACAAAACAAAACACAAAAATCTTAAGAAAAATGCTTTGCTGAGAAACATCTGATCTAAACTGGGGTGGAAAATTGGTGCGGTTTAAAGCAGATAAACTAAGGAGTAATAAACAGTAATAGAAAGATACATCTAAGTATGATGATCTAATGAGCCCCTTTAATCACACACTTAAAGTAGAAAGAGAGTCAGTGAACACAGGCCAGAGAAGATGAGGAGAAAAAGTGGTATAGTTTGGTTTATTATATGTTAAGATGGATGTTCTTTCAATACACTGCGCACACAAGACTCTTGTATTGTGGCTTGTTATGTGCATCGAGTTTCTTGCAACCCAGTCTTTGGCCATAATAGTCACTGAAACATATAAACAGGATACATCAAGATAAACATGCTTTTTCCTTTTCTGTACTAGTCAGCACAACTCTAATAGCTTATTTTATGTAACACAGCAGCCACTCATATCACTCAATTTGCAAGGGAATCCATGAAAAGAAGGACGTACGAGGCACTTGTTAATAATAAGTAAAAGTGCATTTCCACCAAAAGTGAATGGAAGTTTTAGTTCTAGGGACTGTTCTTCAAAGAACTTAATGGTTCCCGTGGCTTATTATTATCTGTATTTCCAACAGGACTTAAAGTCCTAGGTAAATAATGCAGAACAGGCCAATGACATTCAGGGATGGTAACTGGAAATGTAGCCGTCGCAAATAATGCTGGCAGCAGGTAAGATGTATTGATTATCAAATAACATCAGGTTCCTGGAAAAGTTTTGCTTTTGTGCTGTTGTCCTTTGGTGCCTCTACCTGTTTATCCTTCTCTCTGCTGAGCTGATGTCTGTGTGTAAATTGTACACCAGCTTATGATGTAAATAGCTTCCTGATAAGACAAACCCTGAAACTGTTATCACACCCAAAGCATCCCTGAGAGTGAAAAAACTACATAAAGCATTTAAGCCCCTCAGCCAAACTTCAGCTTTTAGAGGGAGGGGATTTCTGTGAAGCTCAAACTGTCCTGTCTGCTGATCAACATGTTGCTCGTCTGATCTGACACGATTCTCTCAGCAGCAGCAGCAGCAGCAGCAGCAGCAGCAGCAGACCACAGTGTGTGCTGTGAAGCTCTGCAGGTTAAGTAGGGATTTACTGAATCAATTGTCTGTTGTCACTTAATGGCTCTGTGGGGGAAAGCATATTGCAGATTTATAAACCTCTCAACGGGACATTAATAAATCATACACACAGCACATACAGGCACATGTGCACACATCTACACACACATCCATACACTGCTGGAAGTGAAAGTAACTTCCACATTCAGTGATCATAAGTAGAACTATCAGAGTTATAAAAGCTTTGGTATTTGGAGATGATGGTGTAAATCACATCTCTGACTACTTAAACATGTGTCCAGTACCAATTCCTCACATTAGTTTTATCTTCAAACAGGTGCATGTGGATGATGTGTTATGAATCTTGAGGCTGTTGGATGTCAGTGGTAGTTCACACAATTTAATGAAAGGTAAAGTGTGTGTGGTTATAAGCAGTATTTAGTTGTACAGACTTGACAGACAAATAAAGACTGGGTCTTTTATTTGCTTTTTCCGCCGAAGGTACCAGACCTTGATATATTGCAGGTTTGTGCAGCAGGCAGGCCTTCTCACAGTGAGAGGATCATAATTGTTCATATTCTAGTACATAGTGAGGGCCTGATTCCCTAAACCTGTGCAAACTAGCCAAAAAGACATTGTGTGATTCACAAAGCACAAAGGGTTGAATGCTCCACAAACTGCAGTGCCAAGCAAACAGCGTCTCTGTGTGCCAGTGATGTTTGCCTATACTTCTCTCTGTGCAAACCAGCCTCGTTTGCAAAAAACAACCAATTCACAGAAACCGGTGCTAAAAGCCACAAGCCACAACCTTTATTTGATGATTTATGGTAATACATAAAATGACCCTTGAAGTGGTGAGCTACTTGTGCTACATTGGTTGTACTATCTACATTTCATTTGGGGATAATGGGGCTCATTGGATAAAAACTGGCAGATTAGCTCATGGCACTTAAAAATTAGGTAGCCCATCACTGTCATAGATATCGTCAATCTCGATGTGGAGTTTTAGTCCCATACTCCTGAAAGACTTCGATTTACACAACATAGGTCACTAAACTTTCCCTTTTTTAAAGAGTTGTCCAGGTACCGGTGAAAAAGAAGGAGCTTTCCAAGACCTCACGTAGTTTGATTTATAAGTTAAAAAGTTTATATGTCAATTAGTGTAACTTGGAGGAGTACATTTCTTTGATTAAAGTTAAAAAGTTTATATGCAGTTTTCATTTAAAAAAAAGTTGATTAGAACCACAAAATTTGTGCGTGTGCTCAAATGTTTGAATAATGGTAAAGTCCTTCATAAAACAGATGCATGGCTATATAACAGGAGTTAAATGACTCGAGCAAAGAGGTGAAGTATTTTCTCAGTTTGTATGACACAATGATCAATGTAATAATTTGCTATTATTTGAAAGAAATTTGGTAACACTTTATTTGACACCTACCTCTATAACGCATTATAAACATATGTATAATGCATTATAATCAAGTTATGTGTTTTAACTGTTAACAACAGTTGCATTGCATTAACAGTTATAACACATTATAATACCTCACCTTGTAAATCATGATAAAATGCTTTATAATGTGTTATGTTTACTGCTATCATTAACAAGAGTGTTTATAACTATAGTTATACAGTGCTATAATGTGATTATAACGCATTGTACATACATTTATAACACGTTATAAAGATAGGCGTCAATTAAAGTGTTACCAGAAATTTAATGAAAATCTGCTCATTTATTTGTCAGAATGCTCAAAACAGACTCCCACCCCATCTCTCTTTGGGTAAAAACTACTCCAGTGGAAAAACAGATGGATAACCTGGATGAGGGAGGGTTTACATTTCACTACACCTCACACTGTCGAGGCTTTGAACTTCTCATCTGGTTAATTAAATTATAGTCAGAGTCCCAGCCCTGCAGGAGCTGTTGACTTTGAGTGTGCTGGTAGAGGATTTTACTCTAAACTCTTCATCATGCTGCCTCACATCATGTTTACTGTGTGTTTAAGGGTTGGTCATGGTGCCATAGAAATGTTAATCACAGTGTCATTTCCCACGGGAGAGCACCCGGGCTTCCCTCCGCTGACACACAATTAATAGACAGACATATGGAGTCAATTTGGCTGTGGTCCCTCTGTGACACACTCACACACACTCGCACACACACACATACAAGCCAGCCCTTGAGAGCAGCAGCTGAGTCGCTTTGATGAGAACCTGAATCAACTTTCACTTTAGCTGTGAAATGTGAGAAGAGAGTCATATTTGTAACCACTGGCTGATACCTAAACAATTGAAATGCTGTTATGTATATTTCTCTTCTTCATCAGACAGTAAAGACAATGATTTGTGATGGGTTCAAAGATTGACTGCAATATAATCCTTTTGGGCAAAAACAACCAACCAAAAGTTGTCACTCTTAAAGTCAGTCAGCCAGTGAAATACCCAGTCCCTTTTTCACTAGGTGGTATCATAACAACTATATACACATGCTTGACACCAAGACTACAACACCATCAAAATCATGCCTCTGCAGCAGAAAAAAAATCCCAGGATACTCATGCACAGACCACCATATACCCTCTCTTACTCTTAGGAAAAAATCCTGGGCATAGTCTTTTAAATGTACCTTACGTTGTACCCTGCAGTATCATCTTTGGCAGTCTTCACACTGCCCCAACAGATTAATACAGAAATTTAGCTGACTGCCTACTTCTTCCTCACCGCGCAATGTCTTTCCGTTTGTAAGATGTTACACTTTTACACCAGCTAGCTGGTCACTTGTGGGCTTAGAAGTGTAAAAAAAATATCATTATAAGTAGAAAACTTATTCAAAAACAGCTTGTTTTCCAGTTAAGACCATTTCTCAGTACTGTGTGTGCAGCAACTAACATCTTGATTGACATTATGGTAATCAAAAGAAACCATGGCAATAGCCACAGCCCAACATGATGCAACTCAGAGAGTTTATTATCCATATTTTTTGTTTGAGGTTTCTGACCTCAAATCAGAGTACAAATAAACTCTGGCATCTGAAATTATCGATTTTCAATCTGTCCCACTATTATCAATTGTTGTATGCAGTCCTCACTTTAGGGACACCAGGAAAGTGTGATGCCTTCACTTCCGTTCTATCCCACTGTGCTTTCTGGGCAAAGTTGATGAACCTGCAAATGTGCTAAACATGAGGGATGGCTGTAGCACCAATTCCCCATGGCTCACCACGAATACAGCCCCTAGTTTCTCCAAATCAACTACTGTTGGAAGTTGGAAAATGATAAGCTATCATCTACAAATGTGGGTGTGCAATAAAATCCAAGTATATGAATAGGTAATAAATATCACATCAAGTGTCAGAGCAGTTATTTCAAAAATGTATTAAAGTAAAGCTCTACAATATTTAGATAAGTAATAATTTGTAAATATGATTATAAATATCATAGCTAAAGGGTTCTGTAGAGCAAGGTCAGGCTTCAAAAGCTTCTAATTCATATCAAAAGAAGTTAACATTTATACCTTGATCCTTTTGAAAAAGCATTTTGACTGTTTAACTAAACCTTTTGTACCACAGTCGTTGCTGTGCACCAAATGATGTGTATCAGTAGACAATAAGTTAAATATTTTTTACAAATGGTCATTATGGTGAATGGTGAATCATAATTATGCATCACAGAAGCTTCTTGTCGTCATCTAGGAAGTGTTGTGTCCCAGAATATGACTGTAAGATGTCCTTAAATATTCCTAATTTTACTCCCTGTGCCTAAAAGCAAAAAATCAACACAATACCACTGCATTTATCTCATACTGTGAGTGTGTGTGTATGCCAAACACACACATTTCAGGGGACTTGGGTGAAAGTTAAATACAGTACTAATGCAGCAGACTGCAGAGTGATTGAACCCACTTTCATTTTGGTCACCTCCTAATGTAAGCTGTGCTTCATTCACTAATGATCTTAGTAAATGAATATTGGTCCACCTTTAGCTGTTCCTCAACAATCCTCCAGCTGTTTCATTCTCACTACTGAGAATTACAATCGATTAGAGTGCAGGTAATGTGGTAATGCTGCAGACACCTTAAAGCCTGGCAGTATAACTATTTACAATGAAGTAAATATTAGAGGTAGAGGCAATGTATCATAGGAGTGATGATCAGGAAAGATGGATGGAGTAAGATAAAAAAAGAAGAGAGATCCACACAAACTTCCTACAGAGAGCACAGGTGAAGTTCATTGTCAAACTCACTCACTGATCTCAAGCTGCAGCTACATATCATTCAGCCAAGCGATTTATTTAAAGGCTAATTCATTTTTTTCCAGTTCATTTTTACATGCTATCTTTGGGGTTCAAATAACTCAATGGCACAGTATCTACGGGTGATAAATAAGAAGACCTGGGAATGTTGAAACCATAAATGATGCCAAACGCTTCAGCAGTATCACTTACTGTTTTGCATCATCGAAGCCACACCGGTCTCCCAGCTTGTTTGGCTCCTGAAATCTGTGTGGACAGAGACAAAAACACTTATTGTGTTGTTATGTAGAGTACATACACAGACAAAACCCAAAATCTCCTCCTGGATATGAGGACATGTTAATTTCTCTTCTACATACAGTTTTTAAAGAAGTTTTGAAATGAGTTTTCAGCAGTTTAGGGGGAACATTTCATTGGATAGAAAAACTCTGGTTGACGGTGTTTGGACTGAATGGCTGAATGCCAAACTGTCCTGAGATTGCTTCATATGCTAATGTATGCTAATGCCCATAAAGTTTTGAGCACAGACAGGAGTCCTGCACTCATTCTGGGCTCCAGAGCACTGACACAGGCACTAATTTCCTGTACTGACACACAGGTGGCTTTCTTTCATCTTTATGTATGAGTCTACTCTTGGTCAGTTGTTCTCTTATCCAGATATATCACCCAAAACTCAGAACTAGGCTACTGGCTTGCTTCAAATGAGTTTGCCTTGTTCTCTGTGAACAGGTTTGTGACAGATTTGGAGACACGTTTTCTGACCTGACAAGGTTATATAGTCTGCAAATTTTATGTAAAATTTTGGTTTTTGATCAGTAACTCCACAAGTTGCTGCTGAATCAATATTTTTTCTTATATTTATATATGTACACGCACACACCCCTTGTACTTAAGTTTAGTACCACAGGGACAAAAGGGGTCTGTTTCCTTACCTGTGCTTCTGTCACATCTCTGCTTGAGCCTTTTTTTATTTTATTTTTTATTTGTTTTATTTTTTTTACAACAGACACAAAATATCTAAATGCTTTTCTGCTGCTCACAGTAATCACTGGTTCCATCATGTTATCATCAAGGAGAAACCAAACAGTTGTGTTGTGACAATTTTTTTACTATTGCAGAGAGAATCTTGGACCATTTCTGCCAAATGTGTCGAGGTCCAATACATTAGTTTTACAAAGAAATGAAAGATAATTTGATATATTTTTTTAAAGAGGTCAATAAAAGCTAACCTTGACATTATGAGTTGTTCTAAATTGTCATTTTTCTGTGCTATTTTTAATCAAAGATGAAAACCACAAAAAGTTGAGGTCATGTGCAGGTGTCCAACTCATCCAGTTGAAATAAACACTGACATAAATGTTGTTAAGGAGCAGGTGTTGAATTTTGTATTTATTTAATTGATATTGGTTCTGTTTGTTTGTGTCAGCTTTTTAAGTACATAGTTTAGAAGGCATGGATAAAAAGAGACGACCAATTCTGTGAGTCTGTCTGAATTATGACCATATACTGTCACAATAAAGAAATTATGCCTAACACTTATGTGCAAACATTTTACACATGACTATTGATCAGAATACCTGGGGTCACTATGAGGATAAACCAAATGTGTGACATTTTAAACAAGAACACAAAACAGGACTATGGACTCAAACGACATAGTCTTGACGATGTGGGATCGTCAAATCATTTTTGAAGGATTACTCACGTTAAACTGAAAAGTAAAAATATACCAGTAAGAATGAAAATAGCACATTAGGCAGATTAAAGTTGTAACGTGAGGGTGAGGGCCACAGTTCAGAGCTGTTTCAACATGCATCCTTATGGATGGAAGTTACTCAGGACCAAGTTGAACTGTTTGGTGTGTTTAAGGCAGAGGAGCTCATGACATTCATTATTCTACATCACATTATCAAAAACCAAAGTCTTTTATGGTTGGCCCCAAATAAAGGCATCAAAGCAGATCCTCCTCTGAAGCTCTTGTCATTAACAACCTGCATAATGAACATGAAGCAGCACCCCCCAACACACACACACACACACACACACACACACACACACACACACACACACACACACACACACACACACACACACACACACAGGCTGCGGGCACCTTGTTCCCGCTATAACTCAGCTGTTTCTCCGTGTGAAAGGACACAAAGAGCCGTAGGAGCGGAGCCGCAGCTCGGCTCGGTAAATACCCAGCAGGCTTTGTGTGTCCGCGGGATTCTGATGTCGTTGCCTCGTTAGCTGCGGCTCGTTAAAAAACCCGCGACACAAAACCGCAGCGGGGAGCCCAATTTGAGCAGTACAAGGGACATAAAGGAGTTCTGTTGAACACACTGATGACAATATAAAAGTTTCATTCAGCCGCATTCACAGAGTGCTGATATGAGCAGAACACAGTCCACAGACAGACACACACCGACCGAGCTACTGCTGCTGCACGACACTTCTGCCACTGCTCCCACTGCCCCAAATAATAATAATATTAATAATAATAATAAAAATAATAATAAGGATCTGTGTTAAGCTGTTGCTCAACTTAGCTTTATTTATTGCACTTTAAAACAACCACAGTTGAAACAAAGTGCTGTACATAAGTGGACAAAAACAACTCAGACATAAAAACAAATTTAAAACATCAAAAACAACAGATTAATCAAAGCAGATGTTGCTGATCAAAGTAATAAAGTAAAGTGGAGACTAGCTATATTTTATTATTATTATTTGGACTGTACGGGAGACCGAGGTCATAAAGGTTTTAAAGGGATTGGTCATTTTACAGATAAATAATTATTGAAAAATTAGAGTTTATAGTGTTGATTTGGGACTATCAATAGCAAAAAATCTTTGTCAGGAGGTCAGGTGGGGATGGTTGTCTCACTGCTCTGTAAGGTGGATGTCACACTTTTATTCACGTCATGTAAGAAAAAGTTGGACATATAATGAGGTACTTCAGGGCTGTCTTTGTAACAAAGTTTTCTCCTGTTTATTTTTTTATGCTATTTGATTTTTTGGTAAAATCATTTCAGAAATGCAGTCAACATAGCCAACTTTCATGTTAAGGTGTCCAGTTTTCTTACTTACTGACACACACACACACACACACACACACACACACACACACACACACACACACACACACACACACACACACACACACACACAAAACAAATAAATAGTTTCTTGTTTAAATCTCTAATTTTGTAACCCTTTTTTGGACTACATTTTTCTCAATTAGAGAGAATAATTCAAGGGCACCGCTGAACATTATGGAGTTGTTCCTGGATTTAAAAAAATATATTTGGTGTCTGGTTTAAAAAAAAAAAAAAAGTTACATTTCATTGTCACTCCAGTTCACTGACAACCAATCATAGGATTGATTGTTTTTTTACAACACGCCAGTGTCTTTGATGGCCAATAGTATGCCGTAAAATTAATTTATAAGAAAAGAGGGAGCCCATTTCAAAGCAAACCCAAAGCTTTTGTTTGTCTAATGTAGATATTACCACTAAAAGATGTACTGATCAGGAGAAATTCACTTAGTAAAAAGTGTGACAACCAACCCCTGTCTCCCCTAAATAAATAGGCATTGGATTTTCAAAAATAAACATTTCTTAAAAAGTCCAGAGGGCCATGTTATTGGAGTAAAAACACGAACACAAGTGCTACTTTCTTTTCAGTCATTCTTCACTGTTGTCATTATAGGAAAGGGTAAACTGATTTTGAGGTGAAGTAGTATTGGAAGGATTTATATAAATCGTTTGAATAAACCTGTTTGCACTTTTGGCCCACCATAAATCAACTTTCTACAACTTTCCATGTGAAAGCAACAGAATTTTTCAACTCAATATAATCTGAAAAATACCCCAGACACACAGAGAAAGAACTTTACACAAAGATGGATGTCATTTCACAGACTGTAGTTGAACATTTTTTGTTTTCTATTTTTTTTTTTTTTTTTTTTTGGTGGATGATGTGAGATCAACTAGAAATTGAACAATTTGTGGAGATTTTTGATTTTCAAATTACGATCCTTCTGCTTTTTTTAGGGTCCTTGCAGTGCAGCTGAATGACAGACACGATCACTTCAAGGGGGATGAAGCTTTATGTGCAAATGAGAGAGGATGTAATTGGTAAAAAAAAAAAAAACATAATTCACATAGCTGAGTTTGATTCTTCTCCAATAAGTTAGGGTGAAAGGTTGGATGTGTCTCAGGTGCGCCTGGCAGATTACAGACTACAGGGGCATTTGGGCACGTGCAGAGGATACTCCCAATGCGCACACACGGGAGCTGCAGCCCGTCCCTCACCGTGTGACAGACAGGCAAACACACACACACATACACACCAGAAAATAAAATGCTTCAAATTCACATGTTGTATGAATTGATTTTGACCTGATTAATCATGCAGTTAATTGGCTTAGATTTAATGAATACCTCCATTAACAGCTGTCTTATCGCGGAGGAGACCGTCTTGTTTAAAGTGGTTTTAGATTTTTTACAGCCCTCTCTACAAACAGTATCTAATAAGACATAAAGAACAAAAACATCTTTATTTTCAAAGCAGGGCTGCTGCAGGCACTTGACACCGAGCGGAGGCCTCGAGTAAGTCCCAACGAGGCCTTGAAACATTTATTTTCAATGATCCTATAATAAATAACACGGAGATGCAGGTGAGGAATACAATTGATAACTTTCATTATAATCTCTGTTGAATATGAATTTTAGGGATGCTTTAAGGTGCTGCAAATATATTTATGAACTGACATCATTTGTAACCTAATTTTACGGACGCTACAGGCTTCAGAATAAAACCACGAGTTAGTTGAAGATGAAAGTTTGACATTTTATGATCCGGTAAAATATAACAAGTTCAGCTTCATGGAAAAAATATCTTTGGTAAAAGTTGAAGACACGTTAAAGTTGAAGTCAGAGAAAAGTTAGGCCTACTCAACCTGAAACTGTGTGTTTAACATAGATGCTCCAGTTTTAACCTGACTAATTCAACAATTTAACATTCATGCTGTCCAAAATATTGTCCTTATCCCATAAAGCAGTTTTCAGTGTACTCAAGCGCCTTTTGGGAAATTATCGCGATAGTTTTTCTCTGAATGTGTTCTAATAAGTGCGCACACACTTGAGAGTACACATCTTCACCTCCTTTTACCCACACGGAGCTCAAACTGATCTCTTACCTCTGCCAAGCCGTCATAATCCGGCAGAGAATATGCTCTGAGATGATTGATATTAATCCTCATCCATCACCGAGGATGGAGCGCCTGGCATCACCTCGCGCACCCAGCTCGAGCGCCGAAGCCAGAGCGAGAGGTGTTTTAGGGTCGCTCGTGCGGTTGTTTGTTTTTGTGTAATATTTTGCCCTCAGTTTTGTCTTCAAGGCAAAATAATCGCGAGTCAAGAAGAATGTAGAGCATCAGGTGTGAAGCATTTACGCTAAAATGACAAGTTTGTGTCTTTTTGACCGTGAGTCAGGAGCCCTTACATCCAGAGCAGGTTTACCGTAATAGATTCAAACCTCTGAACAACTATTTTATATTTGTTTGAATTACTTTAAAGGAGTATTTTCCAGTGATTCAGTCTTCAAAATGTTTCAAAATTTACCCCCCCCCCCCCCCCTTGCTTTGATTCAGAGCTTCTGTTTGCCAAAATAGGAATACACACCTGTTAGACATGAAAACCAACTTATCTAAGAGAAAGTATTGATGATATTCCAAAAAAATCTTCTTTTGTAAAATACTTACATAAAAGAGGAGAAAATATCGTAATACTCCTTTCTCCCTGTCTCTTTTTTCCTTTCCACCGCGTCTAAAAAATCCCCCTTTTCTCTCTTCATCTCCATTTACTCTCTTTTTTTTTCTCATTAAATTAAACAATTGTAATAATTTTTGTCTTTCTTTGTTTCTTTCTGTCTCGGTTTTTCTTTTTTTTAGTATCGATCTCCATCTAGTTCTTATGAAGTGAAACTTTTTTTTTTATCTCCATGCTCTGACTGATAGAGCGAGAGAAAAGAGATGGACAGAGGGAGGGAGGGTAAAAGTGAGAGAGAGGGAGAGGAAGAGAGAGAGAGAGAAAGTGAGTGAGTGAGAGAGAGAGAGAGGAAAGAGCGAGCTTACCTTTCTGTGGCATGCTGTAGAGAAGTAAAGTTTTGGTTCGTTTAGTTTTCCAACAGCTCCTTTCTTCTATTCTTTCCCCCAATTAGTTTCTCCTTGACTGAGGAGACAAGTGCAGTGAGGGACAGAGCTGCTCCTCAGAGGAGGAGGAGGGAGGAGAGAGGGAGCGGGGAGGGAGGTGAGTGGGAGGGATGAGAGACTGTTAGAGATAAAGAGGATGAAGAGTGAGAGAGAGGGGGGGAGTGGGAGGGAATGGAGGGTTTGAGCATGGTGTGAACTGGAGCTTGTTTATGGGGGAGAGAGAGAGAGAGAGAGAGAGAGAGAGAGAGAGAGAGAGAGAGAGAGAGAGAGAGAGAGAGAGAGGTGGTGGTGGGGGGTGGGGGGTCCTGTGATCACTCTCCCACACTTCATCCCTCTCTCAGCTTCAGTTCACTTCACTCTGGCATTAAAGTGTCAAACATTCATTGTCAACAAGTGTAATATCCAAGTGAACTGACACATTTTCTCCTTGTCTTGGACTGTTTATGAACAAAAACAAAACTTTCTTACACATTTCCCCTGGACCGCCAGGTTTTTCTAACTATCTGGGGCCCTCTGCAAAGCTGAATATGGCAGCTTGGTCAGGGCACACACTCCAAAATCTGATATAGCACTGCCAGATAGCTGAATACGGTGAGACTTTACTGGTCTCTTTTTTGTGTTTTTCTTATTTTCTTGGTTGAAAAAAATGAAAACTTTTAAAGGAGCACAGGCAGGTGTATTGAGCTGTGTTTTCAGACAAAAACACAGACAATGGCTTTGTACAGGTGTATCAGGATAAACAGTTCCACTAGAAAACAGATATTATCACATTGTAATATATTAGTTGGCTGTTTATTAGTCACCTTGAAGCCCTGGCAGGAACAGCTTCAAGAGGCGGTATTATACTTTTTCATATTTTGAAAACAAATTTGAAGTTAAAATGTTGGACATCAGTACTTTACACCAGCAAAGTGACATTGTGACATCACCAGACAGTGGCGCTCTTTAAAATGGCAAATTTGTCTTTTTATAAAGAGAAACACAACTTTGTTGAATGACAACATTGAAGGAGGTTTCCAAAATGCTGGATTCGAGAATGCTGGGGGCCCTTAGAGGGACGGTGGCTTAAATGAAGCATCTCAGACAAATGCTGAAATGGCCAAATGGTATAAAGCCAAAAATAATAATAATAGCCCCTTTGGTAACACTTTATTTGATGCCTATCTCTAAAATGCATTATGAATATATTTATAATGCATTATAATCACGTTATAGCACTGTAAAACTATTGTTATAAACACTCATTAATGATCATCATGCTTTATAGCATTAATCATAACATATTATAAAGCATTTTACCATGACTTACCTTTGATTTACAATGATAAGCTTTATAATGTTTTGTGATTATTGCTATAAAACAATATGATCATTTATGTATAACTATAGTTACACAGTGCTATAGTGTGATTATAACGCATTATACATATATTTATAACGCGTTATAGAGATAGGCATCAAATACAGTGTTACCGCCCCTTCTTTACAGTTTTATATTAACAATAATAATTATTATTATGCATCAGATTTCATATAGCACTTTATCAGAGACCCTTAAAGTGCTTTACATCGGAAACACCATTTATTCACTCACACAGTCACACCTCAGTGGTGGTAAACTACCTTAGTAGTCACAGCTGCCCTGGGGCAGACTGACGGAAACGTGGCTGCCAGTTTACACCAGTGGAGGACACACACTGGGAGCAAGGTGGGTTGATTGTCTTGCCCAAGGACACAACGGACAGACTAGGGATGGGGGGAATCGAACTGCCAACCTTCCAGTTATTGGATGACCGCTCTACCTCCTGAGCTACTGCAGCCCGATTATACAGGGAACATATGAAAACAAATGTGAAAAGGTAGTTCAGTCAAACAGGTCACTGCAGTGATGGTCTGAATTGTTTGTTGCAGCAACATCACAATGCTTGTTTTTGGTATCTGGCCTCCTACTGCACCACTCCTGCCATATTAGTTTTGTATGAGGTCATTTGAAGAGTAATAAAATGTTACATAGTTGGAGTCTACAGGTGGATGAGGTGATGAAGTCAAAAGTATGTGTGCAGTTCTGGTGCAGGGCAACAGTTGCAATGACAAAACAGAGACAGAGACAAGAAATTTAGCTAAATGCATATCAAACGTGAATTACTTGAACTGGCTCACAAGCATTTTTCTATTGCTCATAAAAGTAGCAAAAAAGTTTTTTTTTTGTTTTTTTTAACTTTTCATCGAGGTAACATCAAACTGTAAAGGGGCTTTGAGACAAAAAATTTTAAAGTCTCAGAGCTACACAAGTTAATTTACATGTTGATTTTTGTAGATTTAACTCAGCTTTATTTTACAAGAAAGATATTTCCCTTCATTTCTCTCTGCAGCTGTCAGAATAATTATACCTCTTCCACTGCCTCTTCAGGTTCATATTAATCACATATTTCACTTTGATGTTTCATGACAACATGGCCTGTCCTATTAATAGAGTGTGATAATATCTAAGCATACACTTATTCCTTTTTATGCTGTCTTTCAGGTATAGAACCTTAATGTCTCAACTTTACCAGGGCTTAAAGAGATTGGAGTTTAAACACAGAGATTTGCTTTAAGCACATTAACACAATTCTTGAGTTAAGCCCCAAGTTATGCTTACATGGCTGGAAAACAAAGAATATCCTTGCTAGAAAAACAGAGGTTTTGAGTTTACCTGCCTGTTCACTCAGGGTACTTTTACGAGTTATTTAAAAAGTTATGACTGATGTGAGATGTTAGCACTGTTATAGAGCCAAACCTTTTTATTACAGAAGTAATCATACAGCAACCACATTGAAAAGCTGAAGTTGGATGCAAGCAGATCTATTGCTGACAGGATGGGATGCAAGCTGGAAGTGAGCGGGCTTGTTGCATGCTGGAGGCTCAAACTGACTTTGGTGTTCCACTGAAAAAGAGAAGTGTGATTCTTTAAGGTTGACTCTATCATAATCACATTTCCCCTCTGGGATAAATAAAGTTCTTATCTGATCTTTTCTTATCTTATCCTATTATAAAGAACACTTCTTAGGCGTAGTCTTTAGTACGAGCCCTTAAATGTGTGGCGTCTGTCCCCGAAATTTATTACAAAAATGAAGATTTCCTCATTTTCTTGGGTACAACACTTAAAAGCATCCACAATTCTCCTTAGAGCATTTGCATAGAGGTCAGCCCTGTGGTTAATGTAATTCAGAGTAGCTGTGTTAAAAGCATTACTGTAATTGGCAGGTGTGTGTGTGCGTGTGTGTATTCATATTTAAGCCAGTTCATGTCAGCCACATATTCACATATGCTCTTCTTACAGTCGTTTTAGTCCCAGCATTGATTTAGTGTGGCAGCAACACAAGCTAATGAATGGGCAGATAGGCTGAACTCAACATTAAAGGGATATTCTGGCGTAAGTTTAAGTCATGGTCAAACACACCGTAACACCGAGTTAGGCCCCCCCTCAAGAGATGACTGTTGCCGACTGCTTGCTTCTCTAGTTATTCCAACTTTAGTAACGACCACACAATAGCAATGCACAGCGGTCTATGTCTCCACCCGCAAACCTCAACCAAAATACCACTCTATAGCCACAAACAATGCTCAGAACAGCACCTAACGTCATCAACATTACATATAGGGTCCCAGCCATAGTACTAGCCATCAAACATCTTTTTAATTTTGCCTGGTTTCTTTAGCAAAGAGACCAAACACAACTCACCCACTCTCCTACAGCAGCCGCTTGTTTGTGGGGGGAGCCCTGACAAGTCAAACACCAAGTGCTGTGGAGTTTCGCAGCTCAAGGAAGAACATTTATGATTATTATTTCATGGAAATGCAATCAGACTGAGAAGTACACTGTGTAGGCAGAAGAACTACCGCGTCTGCAGTGCACATACAAGATACACAAGAACTCTGGTTGGGCTCGAAATCATAAGGTAAATAGCGTAGATGCACGTCTAGGAAGCCACCGAGATGTAAAGATTCATTCTACACAGGTCGAGATGGTATTACTGTCCATTTTGCCATTAGATGTTAAGTCACATGAGTTGCCTTGATGTTGAGAGTGGCGTGGGGCATGTATCTCTGTAAATTTTAGGACGCATCATCAGTAGTGTTCCTTTGAATCAGAGGGTGTTTCGGCCTTTCAACACTAGACACCCTCATCAAAGGTGGCCAGCTACAGGGTGATCAAGCCTGAGCTTGCGTCCCATGTCCAATCACAAGCCCACAACTTTCCTTTTTTGTTGCACTTCAATCTTGCAGCTCTACCCTCTGGACCCATTTTGTGTGAAAGTAATTTTTTTACATTTTAGGATTCTCAGTGGTTTAAAGGACTGACAATGCTATTTGTCACACATAACTGCCCGTCACTGCCAGCAGGTACATCAAAGGGATATTAAGCACTATATGCACATGATCACAATGTTCAGATATTTACAGCCGCTCAGATAAAGACATAGATTCAGATTTTTGTGTCATAACATAAAAAATCCTACCAAGCCAAAGATAAGCACACAACACTACTGTGAATGACACTGAGGTTATAATCAACCAGCAAGAAAACTATGAACAAACAGCTACTGATACTGCCCATCAGAGTTATTATATATACTGTATATAAACTCTAATTGTCAGCTTTTGAATAAGTGTTTTATTATAAGTATTTTTTTATTATTATTACGAAAAGAAAAAGACAGTCCACAGAAATTAAAGATACTGGTAGCTATTCCTTACATCCCACTTGACAGTCACGTGACCTGAGAAATTAAAACAGCTACACTGTCGTCAGAGAGCAGATCAGTAGCCCTACAATTACTGCTTCTGTCAGAGGTCTGCCTCATCTCTGCAAATGAAGGGGAGATTAATAAACCAGCACTTTCTGATAGACAGCAGCTGAAAGAAAAGACAGCAACCGCTTGACCTTTTTGACAGAAACACGTGTCAACACACTGCTCTCTGTCCTCAACTCCTCC